CTAGAAATTCTGTCCATGAAGGTAATGAACAGAATCGGGGACAAAGGGCAGCCCTGGAGGGGTCCAACTCTCACCGGAAACGAGCCCAACTTACTGCCGGCAATGCGGATCAGACTCTGACACCGGTCATACAGGGACCTGACAGCCCGTATCAAAGGGCCCGGCACCCCGTACTCCCGGAGAACCCCCCACAGGGCTCCCCGAGGGACACGGTCGAACGCCTTCTCCAAGTCCACAAAGCACATGTACAAAGAAAGTATTTAACCAGGAGTGAGAGTCAACATCTTAAATTGTTTAATCTAACTAAAATAATTTTAACCAACTAGATTGGTTGGAAAAACAACCAATCTATTCTTAGCTCCAAACTCTATCCAACTGACAGCAGCTCTCCTACAAACGCCCACATCTTGACTGAGTAGTGAGGCTGTTTAAATGGCTGTTGAAGTTCCTGCGCTTTCTGAAACACTTCTCAAAGTTGTCACCTGGAATGACAGTTGTGAGGCTTCGGACATCATCAATTTTGGCCCCTCCTCTAAATGAATCACACCTTGACACGCACTTTGGGGAAACACCCCCTCCATTACTCAACACACGCCTTGAAGCCTCTTCTCATCTCATAACATCACTAAGATAGTTTAATTGCTTTTAAACCAGTTGAATCTTGATGATTAATGTCTGATCCATGAAACAGTTTGACTTCAGGTACAGTGATGCTAAAAATTTTCATAGTTTTGACATTTATAGTTTTTACTTATCCAGTGTTCAGTTTATTTCTATAGCTGCAATTCACATCATGTCATCTCAGGTCACTTTATAGAGACAATTTAACCAGATCGTCCAGTGAGATTGGTTCAGAGTTTCTTTCTAAGGAACATCAGTTGATTGCGAACCGCCCACTAACCACTAACCCTTAACTATCAGCGTCACTCCCAATGAAGTCTGTGGAAGGAGCCTGGATTGATGATGTGTGGTATAAATGAGAATGGAATGGCTTCTTGATGTAGTTCTGAGACTGTCGCCCTTTCCTGCTGCTCCTGCATCTCCCTACTCCCTCTGCTTAGCTGTGTCTTGTCTTTTCTAAACTCTTTCTTCATATCACCTGAATTGAAACAATGGATTTGGTCAGCTGGTCTCTCAATACAATTGATAAAATTTTTCAACTGGAAGACAGGGAAAAGGGACCCTTCTTTCACACCCTGGAGGTGAACTGTGGTCCTCGGTCTGAAACTATGTCTAGTGGGATGCCATGGAGCCGGACCACATGGAGAACAAGGAGGTCGGCAGTCTCTGCAGGAGTGGGCAGTTTGGGAAGGGGGACAAAATGTTCAGCTTTAGAGAAGTGATCTACTATTGTTAGAATGACTGCGTTACCTTGGGAGAGAGGGAGACCAGTAACAAAGTCCAATGAGATGTGGGACCAGGGTCTGCTTGGGGTAGGCAGTGGCTGAAGGTAACCGGAGGGTTGCTGGTTGCTGGACTTCCCACGATTACAGACCGTACAGGAAGAAACAAATTTACTGCTGTCCTGAACCATTGACGACCATCAAAAGTGCTTCTTTAAGAGGGAGACAGTTCGTTGTACCCCAGGGTGGCAGACAAACTTGGAGGAGTGGACCCATTGCAAAACCTCAGACCGAACCCTTTCGGGGACAAACAGTCGGTCAGTAGGACAGTCGCTAGGAGTGGGCTGTTCTTGTTGGGCCTGCCTCACTAAGTGTTTGATCTCCCAGGAGAGGTTAGCCACCGCAATAGAGGTTGGCAGAATTGTCTCTGTTGGGAGCTGGAGAAGTTCCACCTTTCTCCAGCAGAGTCCGCCGTGGATCCTTCTGAGTGAGCCTCCTGCACAGCTGCAGCTCATCAAGATCATCAGAGGATCCACCATATAAGCTGTCTTCAGACCTTGCCTCAACGCCGCAGTGTTGATCCAGTTGGTCAGCG